TTTATAAAAATTTCTATATTTACCCTACTAATTTGGATATTACTTTATTGTGAAAATGTAGATGATAATAAATCTTTTAAATTTTTTTTTTTATTTTTTACTGTTTTTTTTAAATTAAAATTTTTATTTTAAATATTTATCGTTTTATTTTTATTTTAGTACAATTACAGATCATGGAATGATAAATACAACCTAAAAAACAAATTAGATTTAGGATCTAAAAGATCTTTAGCAGAAGGTAAGGAAGTAATAGAACCAACAAATGAAGAATTAAAAGTAAGTTCATCGAATATACAAACAAATTTAGAAGAAAATAATACAAAAGTTGAAAAATTGGAATTAAAAGAGGAAGAAAAGGATAAAAAGGAAATAATAAAAATAGAAAATGATAATGTAGTAGAGAAAAAGAGAGAAAACAATAAAAAAGTAAATAGTTTGAATCTAATACAAAAGTTCAAAAGTTTTTTGAGAATATTTAACATAGTTTCTATTGTTGCATTACCAATTTTGTCAATGACACTATCTATTATAGCACTTTCTAATAGTGAGAAGGAAAGTAAATATGTTAGCGGGTCGAATATAGTAACTTCTTTATATCTTGTATTAAATTCAATTCTTTTGATGGATTTAAAATCAAATAGCAATAATATGTAAAAGCAAATTATGAATAATTTTTTTAAAAAAAATTGTTCTCTAAAAGAAAATTTCAGGATATAGAAGTTAATAATATCTTAAATATTATTATGACTTCTAACATAATGTTATAAATAGGTAAGTTAAATTTATTCATTGGATTATATGTAAAAATTAGATTGTTTGCTAGTAAAGATATACTATTTATTGATTCTTCGAAATTTCCTCTTTTAGTTTGTCCGTTATAGTAAACTCTTAATATATGATGAATTACCTTTTAATATATATATAATGTGTTATTTTTTTATTAATTAAATTAATATTGTAAAATAATTAGAAGAAATATGTTTTTTTAAAAAATTCATTTTTAAGTTCTAGAAAAACTTTCTAATATGAAATATATTGTAATATATTATAACATAAATTTAATGATAAATAATTCATATATTACCTATATCTTATAGATATTTATATAGATACTTTAATTCCCATTCTGAAATTATAATAGATATAGCTATGTCTAATTGGTGAATTAATTTGTGATTTTATGATGGAAATAATACAAGTATTTTCATACTCTAGTCTTAAATCACATTTTAGTTTTTAATTTTGAAGTTTTAAATTTTATTCTGAATTGAATATGAAAATATATTAATAATTTTATAGTAAATTTATATAGATGATTTTTTTTTTTTTTTTTTTTTTTTTTTTGTATAATATTTATTAATTATTATATTTGAATAATAGAAATTTATTACAAATATAATAGATAATTCAATTCCATAAACATTTAAAAAAATAGCTTTTTTTTCATTAATTAATTATTTCTAAAAGAAATTGAAATTATCAAAAAGTAAAAATAATTACTTCATAACTATAATAATGAATATTTATCCCTGTATGCTTTATTAACTGGATACTCGGTGACTCTGCTAGAGTACTGAACAAAAAAATTAATAAGGAGCATGTAGAGTTGCTTCTACGATTTTGATGTATTTATATATATTTTTAAATGCTTTGAACGAGTGATCCTTAACTATGTAAACTACTTCATTCAGCATTCTTTGATTTCAATAGGTATTTATTTACTTTAATAAAAATCTTTATTTTTATTAAAAATTTAAATCCTTATTGAATATTGATCATTAATTAAATGTATATTACTTGTTTCTTTGTTATAAGTTTAACTCAGCAATTAATATATATTGGTGTTAAATTAACAAACATAAACAATTATTGACAATACAAAAAATTATATTAGTATTAATTACATGAAAATTTTATTGTTATATGTATAAAATTTTCTCTTACAAAATTAATTAAATCCTACTTCGTTAAAAAAAAAGAATTTTTTTTTTTTTTTTTTTTTATCGTATTCGTATCGGTAACAAATTTTTTTCCAATTGATTTTTTTTTTATCAATTTATTTTTTCCAGACGGTCTTTATATTTTTTTTTTTTTTTAAAATAAAGCAAAAAAAAAAAATTGATCATTTTTTTTTTTCTTTTTTTATATGTGCATGAACAACTTCGTATACTTCATTTAACTAGTCCTTTTATTTTCCAAAAAGGTTAATAAAACCTTTTATTAACCATTAATTGACTGCATTATCTAGCTATTAATTTATTAATGTTACAATAGCCAAACAATAGTTATAAATAATATTTTTTACATTATGAACATTACCATACTTATAACAATTACAATAATTTCTACATTTAATGGATTATTATTTGGATAATTTTAATTTTTAAATATACAATACATATATTATTTAAAAGATTTTAATACCATGAAGCAATATATATGAATGTAAGTTAATATTATATTTCACATATATTTAGTTGGAAAAACTGCATTTATGTATTATATTAAAGAAATATATATCATAAAAACTCACTTTTATTAAAAATACGACTATTTTTTAAAGTAAAATGATCGTTAATATATTAAGAAGGTAGTATTTATGCATATACTTTTTTATTTATGTTATATCAAAGATTCTTACAAATTAAATTAAGAAAATAAAAGTTCTTAATAAAATTCTTTATTAATGCTTACAAAGATGTTTATAGCACTTAAATATTTTAGAAGAAAGTAAAATTTGTAAGGGACAATTGTTTAACTCTTTTCTATTATATAAATTATTTGTTAATTGCTCATTTATTTATCTTGCTAGTATCGAAAAAACAAATTAATAAAAAGCACGTAGAAAAAGCTCTATTCATTTTATCATTATCAGATTATTAACTTTTATTAATTATATTAATTATTAAATGAATGATTAATTACTATTGTTATTAGTTTACATTATATCTTATGTATGTTACATTTGATAATATATACTTAATTTTTTATAAAAAAATAAAATAATAAAATATATAAATATTTTTTTCACATCTTGTTCCTTTTTAGAGCAAGTGTTTTTTTTTTTAGATGCATTTACTTTTAGAGCAATTGTTTTTATTAAACGTATTTACTTTTAGTGATATATTTTTATTTGAGATACATACTTTCTTTACGCTTTTATGTATACCTATTTTCCTTGCAATATGACCTATACAATTAAAAATGTTTTTTCTATATTTATCTAAATATTATTTAAAATAGGTCGATAATATAATTTATAACCCAATAATTGGGTTACTTAGATTTCATGAGAAAGATAAGGAAAAATAAAAGAATAGCAATAAAAATGTTTACAACTAAAATAAAATAAAATAAAAAATAAAATAAATACAATCTCATAATAATTATAAGTTATCGATTATGTATAAAAAGGATAAAAGAAAAGGAAAATAACTTTCTTTTCACATTTAATTAGAAGGCAATGATAATGCACATGCAAAAGGATATGTTATAATTCTGTTTTATACTTATTTATTGATACATTCTGTATCATGATGAAAATATATACCTTTGTATTTTCTAGGAAAAAATTCATTATATTTAATTAAAGATATATCTTTTTAGTTAATATAATATATAATATTATTATTAAATTTAAAGTTTATACTTGTGATTATTAGTTACAAAAAAAGAAAATTTATAAATACATATTTTTACAATATGTTTCATATAAAAAAGAATTTTCTTCACAGTTTTTGGAATAATTAAGAAAGTAAATTTTCCATAAAATAAATAAACTTTTTTTTGAAACATGCTTTTTATTATATACATATGATTTAATAAATAGTTTTTTTTTTTTTTTTTTAAAATGTAATTAATTTAGAGTGCTTTTTATATGATATATTATTATAATTTCTTCAAAATAGATATGTGTTCACTTTTTCTTTTGAATTTGTGCATTTCATAATTTTTTTTTATTTTGAGAGAAGTAAATGAAGAAGGAAATTTTTTTAAAAATAATTATCATGATAAAAAATAATTATGTATACATATATTATATAAAAATGTGTTTATAACAAAAATAAAAAGAAAACATAAAGATAAAAAAAATATTATAGAAAAATGAAAATAGTTACATTTAAAGCAGAAACATGCACAATTAAAAATTAGTTTAATATATAATTAAAAATGACTACAAATATAGTATAATGTATGAAAAATACATGCATAGAAAAATTTTTAATTTATAGTGTTTTTTTTTTTATTTTTTTTTTGGATGGAGATATAATATCTCTAATATATATAAAATTATATCTATAAATAACAAATACTATATATAAAATAATTTAAAGTTTTACGTGATTCACAGAAAAAAAACTAATAGTTAAACGAAAAAAAAAATAAAAAAAAATTTATTGACATTAAATATATAACATTTATAATTTAATTTATTTCAAATTAGCATTATATAATTTTTTTATCTACTTTAAGGACGAATATAATTTTAATGAAATATTTTTAAAATAACCTTACATATTTTAAAATTTTTTTTTTTAACTTATAAATATACGTTCTTATTTATTTCATTTTTTGAAAAATTAATAGTATTAAATTTGCATAAAGTAAATGTAATATTATGTACAATTATGAAAAATTAAGAATTA